TGGTGAGAAACGTAGTATTGGGCAGCTTATGATTTCTTGATACTAAAGGCTTAATATAATAAAAATGAAAATGGTCCTGTAGATACTTCTACAGATATATATATAAAAGCAAAATACCACTCACACATCACCACAAAATCTCCAGAACCGTAAAACCTACAAACTTGAAATTTGGCACCTATTGTTCCTCTTGGCTTCTAGGTGCTCACTCAGAAAGGATTTTGCAAAATGACCACCAGAGCATTGGTATTTCCTATATTGTTATTAACACGCTCTGATGCTAAGAAATTCTACTCCCCCTCCCCACCTGAAAGGAAATCTGTTCCAAATGCAAAACACAAGCAGAGGAGAGGAGTTTCAGTTTTAGTTTTACAGCAGCAAGCAGCTTTAATACAGAACAGTTGAGCTAAGCCACGCCCAGGCTCCTTGCTGTCTCCTTCTTGCTCACACAGCAAATACTGTTTCAGTTTCAAAATAGCCCTCAACTCTTTCACACACTGACAGGACGCTAGCCAGATGAATACCAATGGATGCTGGTAGGCAGAAGCAGAATTTTTTCCCCCTTATTTGCCTTCCCAAAAGCTAAGCCCAACCACCACATAGTTGCATAGTGAAGCACGGGTATCGAGCTAGCATTAAAATAAAGGGACAAAGTGCTTTTTTTTTTTAAAAAAAAGAGGTATCTTTATCCCATGTTTCTGTCAATGCTATAGGTATAATGCTATTATAGCAAATGTTCCTAAAGTGAGTCCTGCACCTTTTCAAAATTAACATCAATCAGAATAGAGGTGGAAGAGATCTTGGAAGTCTTCTAATCTAGTCCACCCCCCCCTGCTCAAGCAGGAGACCAATATTCAATCACAACTGAATATTGAATGCATTTTTATAAAATAAGAAAACTGTTGCTTTGGGGAACGGCAAGGCCCTGTTTGCTGTGGTGGCATGGAAACATTAGGCCCAGGTTCTGGAGTTTGTTGAGTCAGATCTTGATTGCTTTTCTATGGTCTACAGCAGAGGTCTCCAATGTTGGCAACCTTGGCAACTTTAAACCTGGAGGACTTCAACTCCCAGAATTCCCCAGCCAGCTTTGTTGAAGTCCGCCAGGCTTAAAGTTGCCAAGGTTGGAGACCCCTAGTCTAAGGAAAAGAAATCCCCGTCATCTTATAAAAGAAAGGGTGTGATGGATTTGATCTTGTTCTCTTTTGCTACAGCATGTGAATCCATAGCCGATACGATATTCCAAACAGTCAGGACCTTGGGTTGCCGTCCCTTCATGAACAGCCAAAGAAGTGCCTGCATCTGTAGTGAAGAAGAACGAGATGAATTGTGAAAATGACCATCAAGCTGTCTGGTAGTGTGACAACGGTGGCTTCTGGTGTCCTTTGTTTACATGAAGCTTGGTCTTCTGTCTTCTGGAACAAGCACATAAGTATCTTAACTTTGGGCCTTGGGAATCAATCCCAAGGCTGGTGAACACCCAGGCATTAATTGTCAAGTCAGCATGATTGAGAAAGGAATCCCCCAAAAAGCAATGGAATGGCTTGGTCCAATACCCTCCTCTGTTCTATCTAATGACTTTTATCCACTTCCCAGAGCATCGGCTTGACTTACAGATGATTCATCATGTAAGAAGAGCAGCTGAGATGGACATGAGTGGTCCAGGCATCAAAGAAGATCTGCAAGATGATTCTGACAATATTATACACCTTTGCAGCCCCTATGTATATGATAAGCCCACGGCTTTCCTCAGATGCTGTCGCTTTTGCTTTTCAAGGGATACAAAGTCATGAAAACCTCACATTGCTGTTAAAAAAAAAGAAGCCCATCAATATTGACTGGATTATCCATTACAGAACTCAGTTTGAGTTGTGGGCATCTGCTTGAAGACAAAGGAGAGAAGAACACCAAGATCAGAGTATGAAGTCATTGCATAATGCTCATTTTATTTTCCCTTTAGATCATCGTTCCCTTAGAAGAATAAAAAAAAAATACAAATCATCTTACAATAAGAAAAAATATATAAATGGTACATGAGGGTAAAAAAAAATAATGTAAGATGCAGAGCATTCCAAACTTTCATTAAATAAGACATATAGCTTAAAATAATATCAGAGATTGCAAGGAACTTACTTCTTATCTACATAGAATTAACTAGTATTCTACAACTTTGAGTGACACAACTATATATAGTTCATACATGTAAAACTCTTGCGGGCCTCCTGATTCTTTTTCTATATTCTCCTCTTTAAAATTGAAGCATTCTGGTAGATTGCCCATTGCTTTCTAAAGAAAGAAAACTGTCCGTCCCCCCCCCCCGAACACAGGGTAATGGAATTAAACCTCCTTCTTACTGAGATTAAAGTATTTGGAGCTGCTTTATTGTACTGCAGTAATTGGATTTGCATCGGCCAACCTTTTACATCAGAAGGATTGGTTCTTTTTCATCATCCCCTGAAGAAAATTTTCCCTTTCCCCCTTGTTCCTGTGATCCTGAGAAAGACATCAGGAATCTTTCCTTGGTTCCCACAAATTGTTATTATCCCAATGCAGTTAGTCCTCGATGTATGGCCAAAAATTGGGTCCCAAATTTTTGTTGCTAAGCGAGACATTTTTAAAGTGAATTTTGCCCCATTTTACGACCTTTCTTGCCACAACTGTTAATAGCAATAGCATTTAGACTTATATACCGCTTCACGGTGCTTTCTAAGCGGTTTACACAGTCAGCCCATTGCCCCCAACAATCTGGGTCCTTGTTTTACCGAGCTCGGAAGGATGGAAAGCTGAGTCAAACTTGAGCCTGGTGAGATTCGATCTGCCGAATTGCAGGCTGCTGGCAGTCAGCAGAAGTACCCTGCAGTACTGCACTCTAACCACTGCACCATCATAGCTCATAAATCACTGCAGTTGTTGTTAACAACATGGTTGTTAAGTGAATATTGATGTTCCTTGTCAGAAGTTTGCAAAAGGTTACACTGCAACTGTCATAAATATGAGTTGGCTGCCAAGCGTCTGAATTTGATCAACCGTCATAAGTCACTTTTTTCAGTGCCACTGTAACTTCCCATGGTCACAAAACAAAGTGTTGTAAGTCAAGGACTGCCTGTACAGAACAGCATACACAGCAATATCACAGTATCCCGATGAAAAGAATGTAAGAAGCTTTTTGAATCAGGAGGGAAAAAGAGAAATTTTTGTGAAAACTGCTCCCACCTCTGGGAATAGGAGGTTGTTGTTGTTTTTAAAAACATGGTTAGCTAGTTTAAGCATGTAAATTTCAGTAGTGTAAATATTAATATGGTGGTTTTTTTTTCCAAAATAGATTTGGAAAAATCTACTTTGGAGGGGTGGGAGAATTTCAGACAATATTAATTGAAGCAGAGTTTCTTAAATCAGCATAGGGAGCTAACATAAATCAAGTGGTTGGAAGAAATTTCCTGATAATTCCATAAAGGAAAAAAAGGGGGTGGTGGTAAGAAAGAGATAATAATAAGGTATGCAACAGTAGCAATAAATTTCCAAAGTCTGTAATAGTGCAATGTATAAATTTTCTGGGGGGAAAAATGTGTATTTAAATGTTGTAGTTTTCTCTTCAGGACGTTGAATAATTCAAACTTGAGCCTATCAATTTCCATAGCTTCACAGCCAAGTTTCACAGCCTGAGTTTGGGCACACTGAAAACTTTAGTGTGCATTACTCTGGGAACGGGAAAAAATTTAATCCATGTATAACCCTGCAAATTATTATTCTTTTCCTTCCTATCTGCAAGACTTTCTCGGCCATTCTGATGCTTTCTTAGCAGTTCTGCAAGCAGTGAGAACGTTCTTGGTGATCACCAAGAACGTTCTCACTGCTTGCAGAACTGCTAAGAAAGCATCAGAATGGCTGTTGCTCTTTTCACACAACCACCACGCTGTCTACCCAATCATCGCTAACATTTTGGCACCATCACTTTCCCTTCTTCTTCCTCTTCCTGCAGCTGGCCAACGGGGCATCATTAAAATGCATGTTAACTGCTGAGGGGTCCTTAGTGCTCTCTGAGCTTGGTTGTTTTCTTGCAGCACTGATGATGTTAGCCAGTTGGTTAATGAAATGTCTGCAAGAAAACAAACAAGCTCAGAGACCACCAAGAACCCCTCATTTCAACCCTGAGCTATAAATAGTCTCCCTTATGGGTGCCTGGTTAACTCGTACCCTACGCCTTCTTTCTTATTTTCATGTTGCATTTACCTTTTTATGGAGTTAGGCGTTTTTGTTTTTCTCAAAAGAATATGATCATTCTGCAGTGGCACAAAAAAAAAACATAGTTCTCAAAACATCCTGAAGGTAGTGGAGCAATAGTGTAAATTATCATATCAATACTTTTATTTCGGAAGGGAAGGGAAAATCTTGGGAACAGGAAACTGAGGAAGATAGGAATTCCAAGAAGGAACTGAACTGCCTATTCTAGGGAAGGATCTGCTAGGAGGATCTGCCACAAATATGCCTTTCCATTAGATCAGTAGCCAATTAACTTCTGAATTTAATTGGTTGAGAAGGAAAAGACTGCCAGGAGCCCCAAAGTATTGTGATGGTGCATAAGGGCAGTGCCTGTCTCAAATCAGTAAGGAAAGGTCCTAGATCCATGAAATCATAAATCATCAGCCTATGAGGATGTTAACTTTTCAAAACATACACACACAATTAAGCATGACAATTTAATATGTTGATACATTTCCACCACTCCCAACTGTTATCCTAGTGTCATAACTGCTTTACAGAAATTCAAAATGTTGACATGTATGTCAAAGAAAGAAAGAAAAGGGAGCAAGGCTTCAACGGTTACAGCTGTAGCTTCAACTTGACATTTGTTTGAGCCGTGGATGCCCCAAAGGAGCATTTTTGGCTGTGCTTTGAATAAATCATGTGTCAGGGTTCCAAGTAATAAATCTATTGCAAGCAAAAACTCTGAGCCAGGTGGATTCCTCAAAGAATAACTTTATTGGAAATATCATATTCGCACATATCTGGTGAAAACCAACTCTGAAGGGTCCCTCAGTTTTCATCTAATTAAAAGTAAAAGTTTCCTCCCCAATCCCAAACAATCAATCACATGCCCAATCAAGGCAGCGTCCACTGGTCTGGTGACATCATTCCTCCTTCTTCCAGCCAGGTGTGAGAATATCCTTAGTTCCCAAAAGAAAGTATTATATTTTGACTACACAACCCTAGCTATTTCTAATCCCCCCTCCCAATCCCTCGCTCCAGTGCGGCAACACTGAAGCTCCAAGATGGCTTCGTCCAGGCTGGCTTCAAGGTTGATCATGTCTAACTGAAGCAGACTCTGCTTTGACCCTACAAAATCAAATTTCCCATTCAACGTCTCCGCCACATGCAACGGAATTGAGATGTAGACTATATCTAGTTTGAACTCAAGGGGAAGAGGGGCATATAGATATATATATTCACACATCTATTCCATCTGTTCATCCATCTATGGATGTATATAATCATACATCTATTCTTGCACATCAATTTTAATTGGGCCACTTGTCAGGATATGGTGTGCGATGTGGTCGCCTTCCTCTTGTGATCGGGCTCTTCTGCGCATCCGTCTGTGACAGCCCTGTGCACAGCGAGATCTCTCGTCTGTTACTCCACACACAAGAACACGGCAATGTAGAAACACTTCCTAAATGAGAAAAAAAGCATATTTATGTCTACATACCTACCTACCTACACACATACTTCATACATTATTGGGGAAGGAAAAGCAGCAGAGAGAGAGAGAGAGAGAGAGAGAGAGAGAGACTGGAGATTGACTTTCTATAAGAGATGTATTCATTTTGCCTTAGCTGCAGTTCTTGGTACAATATTTTGAAACGTCTCTCATTTGGGAGGTGAAGACAGAAACCACACAGTAGAAACAATATTAGCCTGGTGGAATCTTATCTGCACTGAATCTTCAGCCATCCCGTAATAAGGAGCAGACACTAATCCAGCAATAATCTTTACCTCAAACATTAGATACATTTTTGTAAATGCAAATTAAATATATCTGTCCAATAGTAGGTGTGAGCTTCAGAGAACGAGTCAGAACATTTTGATTGGAAATCTTTAAAAGCAGCCAGATTTTATATCATTTTAGGCAACAATATTATTTTACCCCTTAAAACTTAAAAGGAGTAATGTTGTTAACTTCTTTTCAAGAAAAACTGATGACACGTCTACACTGTAGAATAAAAGCTGGTTTCCCTGTCATTCTTTTCTTGAAATTTTGAAATTGCTGGGGTGCCAGGTATCTGAAACTCCATGTTGAATATTATGGTTATTGCCATAAAATGTGTTGTGATAATGAATTCTTAGGATGAGCCCACCTATATTTACTGATCTTGCAAACATTGTTAAGAAGTGCTTTGCACATGAAAAGTTCTCGTTTCAGAACAGGGATGTTTTGATGTTACCTAGTCTAAAATGATAGTACAAAATTTCCAATGGAAGCAAGCTGTGAAATCATCTGTTTGGTGCAATGGGTGATGTTTAGGAACCATATCTCAGATGGTCCATTTCATTAAACAACAGCTCAGGAGAAAGAAAATATGGTAGGTTTGGGAAATAGAAGAAGAAAACAGCAGGGTCAGGCAAGACTTGAAAGCATTTTGCAAACCTTTTACAATATTAATATTAGCTTCCCCCAATGTGGTGTTGGCACTAAAGCACTGTTTAATTAATTTAAATCCCCATTTACCAATAATATTCATTCCCATGTTCTCCTAGTCAAGTCTATCAAAAGTGAGAGAAGATCTTGGTGGCATCTGGATCTTCTGCTAGTCCATTTCAATAGACTTTTGACTTTGTCAGCTCTCCTGAAATTCATGAATTTGAATTTTTGCTCACCTTGTTGTCTTTGCCCACAAATTTGAACACTGGGACCTGAAAGTGTTTAGCCAGATGATCTTTTGAGGTGTACTGCTTTATGGAATCATCCGAAACGCAGCTGAAGAGAAAGGGAGAGAAGAAAAACATCAACAGCTTTCATAGAATGATGCCCAAAAGACAGAAGATATTTTAGTGCCTTCCAGGGAGGCTGGCAGGCATTCATATTGCTGTCTTAACTCTACTGGTAGGTCAGCCAAGACTGAAGATGAAAAAACAGGAGTCTAATTGCATTGCCAGAAATGTAAAAAATACCCATTGCAATTTTAAAAAATGATTAAAAGAATGCATTAGGCTTCCTTCAATCTGGATTTGCAGTTCTGCTAATGACCAAAAGATTTACCATCATCCTAAATCAAAGAAATCCTTAGCCAACCTTTGATTTTTTCCAACAAAAATATAGATATGACTCAGAGACGTGGCAAAACCAAAGAACTAATGGAGAAAATATTGTAGGATTTTTTTTCCTTTTCAGGTTCCCAACTACGTGGGATGAATGACAACACATCAAATAATTTTTCCTGATAATTCTTAATCTGAACTTTTCTGTTTATTTTTGTATATTTCTTTAAAGTAGATTGCAAATCTTTGTGTTGAAGAAAGTTTTTAAACATGGGTTGGAAGTGGACCTTTCGAATGTAGAGGATAGAATCAATGTCCTCTATTTAATTATGTTGTTGTTGGCAAATAATCATCTGTGTTTACAAAGAGGGAAACATCAAAATGGCTGTCACACTCCTGGGATCAAAGCCCTGTCCCTTTTGAATGTACACTGTGATATACCACAAAAAAGAGCAAGACATCAATCAGAGGACTGTGGTGGCCATCTTCATTTCCTGCCAGATACTCCTGCAAATAACCAAGACATTTATCTGAGAGAAGAAATAGGCAACATAATGCATTATTCCCAAGTGATTTTGTTCCATTATGCTTATAAAGTTACAGGATTTCTGAGTCCAAAAATTGAATTAATCAAATGATTACAAACATCTTTTTGTTTGTTTGTTTTGTCAATGTGTAATAGCTTCTGAGCCTCAATGGAGAATCAAAACCAACTGAATTAATATAAAGAAAATAGACTGAGGAAAGCAAAATAAATTTCCTTGAAAAATGAGATGTCATTCTAAGGACACAAAAATACTGAGAATAAGCTGATAGGGTGTTGTTATTCCTCAGTGCTTAGCTTCTTGTGTGACTGTGTCTGTGTCTTCAAAGAAAAAGTATATTCTTTGGTGTTGAATGATAACACAAAGGAATGCTTACCAGCAATTTAATCTACAGAATGCAGACTTTGAACATTATAAAACTTGCTACACAGAACAAAAAGCAAAGGAAAAGTACTAGACGTGGACAGCGATGTCCTACATAGAAATAACCTTTGGCTCTTGGAATCTGACATAAATTGCTCATTAATTGCATTTATCCTGAGTGAGAAGAGCCTATCAGACAGAACTTGAAGGTGGACTTTTGTTCCTTGTATTATTGCTAGATGGGGAGGGGAAGCATATCAAGAAAAGTTCAACAATTATTTATGTGGTAAGTACCCAGGACAGGCTTGGAAGAATAAAATAGATCAGTTAAAAAAACATTGCTATCTTTGCTAGTTAAAACCTATGCTATAATAAATCAACTGTTTTTAAGATACCACTAGATTCTTTGCTTTTCTTGCAATTCTCAAATACATTTTATAAACAGAAATATAGTAGCATGTACTGAGCAAGGTCCATTCCAACGTCTGCTCCAGCACCTTAAGAGATCAGATGGAATCACTATCTTGAGTCACAGCTATAAAAGCCATCTGTTCAAGTACAATTTCAAGGATTACTTCCCCCTGTAAGTTCCTTTACATGCTTCTATTTATTAGGCCATTGGTTTTCATTGATGTGTGTGTGTGTGTGTGTGTGTGTGTGTGTATGAGAGAGAGAGAGAGAGAGAGAGAGAGAGAGATCTCAAATTAATACTCTATGAGAGCTTTAAAAAAATCAGTGGCATCTGGAATATGGATTATAATGCTACCATGTTCTACAAAGAAAGCTGAATGGTAGAAAATTCCTTGCTTTAGTGGCAGGAATGGAGCTGCTTCGGATTATGAGGCACACCTAGGTTTACTTTCAAGGCCAACCTTGGAGGGTATGGAATGGATGAGGAGAAATTCAAAAATTCAAGGAGGTTACTATTCAAATTCAAAGCCTGGACCTTTTTTGGGGGATGCGTATTATAGATTAAAAGGGTGGAGCTTTGATCTCACAATCACAGCTGTCTCTTGATTTGTTTATACCCCTACAACAGATGCTACTTGTCATGTACGCCGATCGAAAGAAGGACGCGAGAGTCAGTGACTTTTTTAGCTCTTTTATTCCATTCCGAGATCGGCTCGGCTCTTGCAGATCGGTGGCGGCTTATATAGAACTGGCCTTGCCGGCCGCGGCCAATGACACCGCTTCGAATCTCCCGCGATCGGTTTCCTCCAATCGCGGGGGATTCGCAGCGGGCCAATCAGTGCGGCTCGCTCAGCCAATCCGATTACTGCGCACCCTGGCCAATCAGGACGGGGCATTACAAGAATGCTAATGTGCAATACAGAACACTACTGTATGCTTTTTTGCCTTTGTGAAGTTTTCTCCATTTCTCTAATGTTTGACCAACATGTGTCTTCATGATTAACAGCAGAACTACTCCAAAGAGAAGTGGCAGGAAGACCCTGAAGCAATGGTAAGGAATCCAAAGATATGATCTTTCACCCAAGACTTCCATTGTGCTGTAATTTTAGCATTACAAGAATAAGAATGCCAGAATAACAGCGGCAATTGCACTTAGACTGATAAACCGCTTCATAGTGCTTTACAGTCTTCTCTAACAATCTGGGTCCTTATTTTACTGACCTGGAAGGATGAAAGGCTGAGTCAAGCTTAAGCCACTGAGAATCGAACACCTGAGTGAGCCTAGAATACCGCATTCTAACCACTGAGCCACCAGGGCTCCAGAATGCCAATTTAGTAAATTCCCCCCATGTCACTTTATGTCAGTGAGACTCAATGAACTTTATAAAACATTTATGAAGGAACTTGACATTGTTATTCACAAATGAAAATGTTAATTTACAGTATGAGCTTAGGGATAATACATCTAAAATTGTTTCATAAATAACAGGTACAAAGATGATCCCTAGGGGAACTTATAAATGTATGAAGTACATCAGAAAACAACACCACCAATATAAATTAAGAGACTGGATAAACACCAGATGCCACATAAGGCCTTCTTGGAAGACATGATCACTTTGCATTGATTTAAAAGGGTGCTTTATTTTGTTATTTAAAAGAAAACAGAACCATGTATTAGATATTCAGGATGAGAATGTCATTCACTGCTTATTCTGGGGGAAAAACCCTCTGTATTTTAGGAACTGTAGTATTTGCTAGGATGGAATATACCCCATTCAAACTTCTGGCATAGGAAATTGGCTAATATTTATAGTGCTACAAGAGGCACAACCCCTCCATCCCATTATGTTAAAAAAATGTCATAT